CATTTCTGCAGAGATGAATTCATAGTTCCATAGGGGTTGCTGTGTGTGGCAGCCCCAGTGATGGAAGGAAGGGGTGGGGAACGTGAGAGCTGTTTTTACAGAGTCATCAGACTGTGGACCTTCTGTTTGAGCCACTTCTAAATAATTCTGAGAACATGTGACTTCTCAGTATTTCACCATGTCCATCAGGATCCAGTTCAAACTCCCCAGAGAGCATGGCGACCTTTTTATCGTTATCTGAACTAGTTGATCTCTGGGTTCTGGGTTCAAGCTCCAATAGCCCAGCCCAGCTGCCCTGCAGGCAATTCTTCAAATGTTCTAAGGTCCGTCGCCCTCTTCCTGTCTCCCTCTTCCCCTCCTCCCTCCCACAAGCCCTTCACCTGTCTGATGAGAGCGCAGGCAGCAGTGCTGTGTTCAGGGAGCCTTTCTTCCCTCCACACCTCCCCTTTCCAAGGCACTGGGTCCTCTCACCTTCTCTGTGCTTCTCGGAATCAACAAAATTTGTATTTAAGCCTTGCCTCAACCAAGCAAGGTGCTAGGTGCTTTAATTATGAATCTCAGCATCTCCCTCAGTGTAGTATTTATACCCCTGGACACACATGAAATGTGTCTAAGTAGATCTGAATGAACTTTTAAATTTTTAATAGCTATGCCTTTGCTTGAATGTTCATTAAGGGGGCAAAAAATAGCAGGACTCAAACATCAAACCCACGATTTCACAAGCATTGCAGCTTAAGATTAAGCGAAAGTGGATGGCAAAGTTAATGAACTACAGTTGACCCTGAACATCACAGGGGTTAGGGGTGCTGACATCCCCTGACAAGTGGATCTGAGCAGTTCAACCCCGTGCTGTTCAGGGGTCCACTGTGTTTTGAATGGGTGGTTGGAAATTGTATGCCAAGGGCCAATTTAAGTTATAGACGAATTTTCCATTGCCTGAAGGTCAGCACCCCTAACCCACTGCCTTGTTCAAGGGTCAACTGGGATTGTAGAGGTTGCAGGGGGATATAGCCGACATTTTAAAGGAAAGATGCTAACACCTGAGGTTTGAGGAAATCTCACTTAATCCCTACAACACCCTGTGAAATAGGTATCTTTACATTTCTGAGATTGGAAGCCTGCAAGTCACAGAGGTTAAAAACTTGCCTCAGGTCGCACACTCTTTTTTTTTTCTTTTTAAATATATTTTTATTGATTTCAGAGAGGAAGAGAGAGGGAGAGCTGGAAACATCAGTGATGAGAGAGAGTCCTTGATTGGCTGCCTCCTGCATGCCCCACACTGGGGATCGAGCCCACAATCCAAGAATCGCAACCGTGACCTCCTGGTTCATAGGTCGATGCTCAACCACTGAGCCAGCCAGCCGGGCAGGTCCAGGCTATTGGGGGGGGGGGGGGGGGGAAGGATGGCTCTCAGTTGGGTTGACTCCTCCTCCCCTATGAAACTCACACTGGCTTTGTGTGTTTGTATCTCTCTGTCTCTGGGCAGTGGGAGATCCTTGAAAGCAGGACCGGCCTTCATTGTCTGCATGCCCCAGGCCCAGTGCCCTTCCCAGTGCTCAGTAGAGTTTCCTGAGGTTCAGTGGAAAGAATGAAGGCCTGGAGTGATTCCCAGGGCAAAGCACCTTCACCAGCATTTGCACTGAATTCTCCCAACACTCCTCGGGAGAAAGGATTATCACTACCATTCCTGCTTCCCTCGTGCAAACACTGATGGTCAGGCTTGCCTTTGAGGAAGAGTAGAAGCTAGGAACATTCCTTGGAAATGGAATGGGAAAGCTGAGACAGATTTCTGAACAACCTGGCTGAGCAATTTACAGGCAGGTACATAAGACCAGGGGGTGGAAAGCCCCCAGGGCCTAGCAAAGGACAGTCAATTGTAGGGTGGGACCTCCTGGTTATGTATATATAGATAAGACAGGAGGGGAAGCCTCCTCCTTGAGCAAGGAAAGACTCAAGGCAAATCCAGTCCCCCAACTGACATACTTCCTGGGGGAAGGGGTCATTCCAGTTTGTTAGTGTTTTCTTTCATTACATTTTTTTACTAGTGACAAAATAACACAAGTCATGGTCAAAATATTGGGAGGAGAGCAGATTCATATACATGTAAAACATAATATAAATGGAGCCACTTCCAAATGGAGTCAGAGCTGCCATCCCAGAGGAATAGAATAGCCTTGCACAGCTAACTCCTCAAACCTTTAGCCAAAAGGACCTTTGGACTGGGCTAAAACAGCACTGTGTTCCAAACAACTGCTGTTATAAATACGGGCTGACTGAGATGTCCTTGAGAATGCGCATCACTATGTTATCTTATCTGTCCCTATAGAAAGCCTTTCCTTAGGTTCTTAGCCGTGGAAATTCCTTCCTTCTGTTCCTGTAATTGTCCCCCTCCCCTTTCTCATAAACACTGCATGCCTTCACCTCTGGATCAGAACACTATTTGGGTTTCTGCCTGAATCACAGCTTCCCCAACAGCACCTGCTCATCTCAGTAAATGCTTGTTGCCTCTCACTTTGCCATTTTATTTTTAGGTTAATATACATACATACATATAAAATTTCTATAAATACTTCTTACCACCCAGAAATGTTAACATTTGTGTGTGTGTGTGTGTGTGTGTGTGTGTGTGTGTGTGTGTAGAAAATGGAGGATAAGTAGGGTGGGGGGCTAGGGAGGAGGAGGAAGTGGAGGAGGAGGAGGAGGAGAATAGTAATGAGGAAGGGAGAGAGGCTTAATTTTTGCTCTTTTCTGGAACAGAGTTCTTATAAACATGATTTAGGGATCACCTGCATCAGAGTTGCAGTTTCTATGCATTTTTTTAAAATGCAGATTCCTGCCCGGCTGGTATTGCTCAGTGGTTGAGCATCGACCCATGAACCAGAAGGTCACCATTGGATTCCCCATCAGGGCACATTTCTAGGTTGTGCGCTTAATCCCCAGTGGGGGGCGTGGAGGCAACTGATCAATGATTCTCTCTTATCATTGATGTTTCTATCCCTCTCTCCCTCTCCCCTTGTCTCTCTGAAAACAATAAAAACATTTTAAAAATGCAGATTCCTGGCCCTCAAGCTACTGAAATACAGTCTCTGGGAGGAGGCCTGGGGTTCCACAGTTGAGAATCTTCTGGAACAAGTGCTCACAGAAGTCATCCTGGGGTGAGTGGGGTGGAGGGAACTTTTCCTGGTGAAAATCCTCCTCAATGCTTATTCCCAGGCCTGCCTGGACATCTGCAGTTTTGAAGAAAGAGTCCCATTATTCTTCACAGGAAAGGGTAAGTGTGCCGCTTTGGCCTACTAGGATGTTCGCATATTTGGGGCTTCCTCCCTGGACATCAGGGATAGAGTGTTTGAAGATACCTGGGGCTGAGGGGAGGGGAAATTGAAAGGTGCTGAGAACTGAGAGGGGGCTGGCTGAGCACCAGGGAGGTGAGCCAAGGAAAAAGCTGGACATTTGCAATGCCCTGGAGTACAGAATTCCTGGAGACTCACATTAGTAAGAGCACAGCAGGACTCAAGTACAAGGTGAGCGTGTCATGTCTGTAACAGAGTAAGCTGACAGCCCCGAGGCCATGCTTTCCATTCAAACCAGAACTTTCTTTGCAGGAAACAAAAGAACATGAGAAGCCCTACCACATCCTTTCTCACTCTTACTTCCTTACTTTTGTGCCTTAGTCACCTGCCTAGGCTGAAAATGAGGATGTTGAAGCAAGGGCAGCCGTAGTTCCTTCTCTTTCTTCCTTACTCCTCAGTGAGGTCAAGAGTTGGTACAATGTGCACACACCAGGGAATGAAATCAAACAACTGAGTGAGTTCTGTGCAATGTTCCTGCTGTTCTGGTAGGAATGATATACATGTATGAGCCATAAAATATGAGCAATGCGATTTTAGCAATTCTGCATTTAAAACTGGCATCACACAATGCAAACAGAAAAATCCTTGCTAACATTTAAATTTTATAAAGAACTAGAGGCCCAGTGCATAAAATTTGTGCACGGGTAGGGTCCCTAGGCCTGGCCAGCAATCAGGGCCAATCAGGTTCCCTGCCTCCCAGCTTCCTCCTTCCCTTGCACCCTCAGTGCCCCGCCACCACCACTGGTCACCTGCCATGTTTCGTGCCACCCCCTGGTGGTCAGCACATGTCATAGCGAGTGACTGAACTCCCGGTCAAACTCCCGAGGGGACATTTTGCATATTAGCCTTTTATATAGATAGTCTTACAGATGTTCGAGGATTTACAATGGTTTGGCTTGTGATTTTCTGACTTATGGTTGTGCGAAAGCAGTATGCCTTCAGTAGAAACCAGACGTGGAACTCTGAGTTTGGAATCTTGTGTAGGAGCCAGCGAGATGGGGGTCCCTGACTAGTGGTAGCAAGCCACAGGTCTGTCAGCCATGACCACGAGGGTGAATAATCAACCCTCTACAGTCTACTTACTGTGTTTCCAGTGTTTTGTGGAAATTGTGTTGAGCATGTTTAAGGTACGCGAGGCTAAGCTAGGCTGTTCAGTAGGTTAGGTGCATTAAATGCATTTTCACCTCATAACAAACTTTTAAAAAGTCAGAAAACTAGAAAAAAGAGGAGAAAAAAAAAAAAGGACAAGACCAGAGAGACCATAGAGGAACCTGTGGAGCATTATGGTAAGTGAAATAAGCCAGTCAGAGAAAGACAAGTACCACATGATTTCACACATATGTGGAATTTAATGAGCAAACTGAACAAACATAGAGAGAGCAGGCAGACAGTTCTGGTAGGGGAGCTGCTGGAGGGATTGACAACAAAAAAAAGAACTAAAAAGCCCATGGAGAGGCTGGAGGAAAGGAAAGCTTTCTACCTGCCATGCCTGTAATGGCACTTTATTCCTGCCTTTTGACCAAGGGGACCAACAAATTATGTAGCTGGCCCTGGCGGTGAGTAGTAACATTTGAGGGGGAAATAGCCCCAAATTTTTAGTAAACAGTTCCAGGAGGCCCTAATTTCCCTGTAATTGAAAGCAACACACTCTTTTTGGGTTTGATCATCTTTATTTTTTCTTTCCCACAACCAGTTACAAAAAATACAATCAATACAGGTACAAGGATCCAATCTGTAGAGTGCAAAGAGGGCCGCAGCCCGCCCAGGCTTAGCTTTTGTATTTACAGTGAGGCACGGGAAGGGCTTACAGAGGAGTGTTGAAAAGCCAGCATTACAAAATACAGATAGTGTTGTTTCCCTTGACATTTCCAAATGAGAGCCCCAAACAAGTCACACTACTATTACTATATAACTTATAAAAACGCTGTACAGGTGCACGGCTATAAATATGGCGTATAAATGGCTGTTAGGGAATTGCTATCTACACGGGGGAAGGCCAGGGGAGGGCTTGGTTTGGTGTCCCGGCCTGTCATGACGGATGCGCTGTGGCATAGTCCCCCCTCCCCGGACCTGGTGGAAGTCTCCTCTCCAGGGAGAACTAGAGGTGAGGAGTGTGGAGGGCAAAGGGGTAAATACAGCTGGGGCTCTAGAAGGCACAGAGGGCATGTGGGGCAAGAAGGAGCACATACCTTGGACCCACAGACACACACGGACCCTGCTGTCACCTGATCTCCCCTTAGGAAGATGAGGCAACAGGTGGGTCAAAGTCCATCCTGGCTACCATCCTGGAAACTCAAAGACTCAGCAGGTAAAATGCTTGGACTAGCCCTACCTGCCCAGGTGAGGGAGCCTTGGGGAGCACTGGGAAAGAGCAAGGCCCATGCTTGTGTTCTCCAAGGCCTCTTGCCCTGAAACTGTCCTGCTCTGGGGAGAGGACACCTGGGAGGCAGCTGCTCTGGGTTGAAGCCAGGCTATGGTAAAGGAGAATTTTATCACAATAAGAAAAGCATATGTGTGTGTGCATCTTTGAGAACCTTCCATAAATTCCTCCCTTGGGACTTCAGAAGATGGTTACGTCTGAGAATAAGTCCCATTGGCCAACCCATCTGTGTGCAAGAGTGGGTGGGTGGAGGGGATCCATTATCAAGCCAGGCTTCATTGTCTAACTCTCTTTCTGCACCTTCCTGGGAGTGGGAGACCAAGGAGTAGGGGCGGAGACAGAGTGACCATGCAGGCTAACACATGCGCAAAGGGGAATGAGAGTCAGAGCTGATGTTGATGCCATTTCTCAGCAAAGTGGAGAACGGCGTTGCAGAACCAGGAGGGAGCAAGGGAGACTTGGGGCCCCTCCTCCCACCTCGGGGGCAGCCCCTACAAGGCTGTGAGGCTGGAGGTGGTGTTTGTGTTCAGGGCGTCCACTTTGGACTTGGGGACCCCTTCCGGGGCCTCCACGACCATGGAGAGGCTACGAAAGGACTCGGGGACCTTGATGTGGATGTCCTCCTCCTCCACGGGGTCCTGGCAGCACTTGCTGCAGCGGCAGCACGTGGGGCAGCAGAGCCTGCAGCAGAAGCGACAGCAGATGCGGCAGCAGCAGCAGCAGTTCCTCATGCAGCAGCCGGTGGCCAGGGAGACCGCGATGTCCCAGGGCTTCAGCGAGCGCATGCACAGGGGCAGGAAGTTCCAGGTCTGGAACACCTTGGGCAGGATGCGGGGGCAGCGGGCCTGCAGGAGCTTGAGCAGCACCACCAGAAGGATCACGAGGATGATGGGCACCCCCACACCCACCAGCACGGGCCACCCAGCCAGCGAGAGGCCAAACACGGACAGTGGGACCAGGAAGAATAAGATGACCAGGTAGAAGACGGCAAACCAGCGGTACTTAGCTGAGATGTTGCCCAGCCCCTTGGCCAGGCGGATGGGCAGGCGGGTGAACGGGATTGGGTACCACAGAAGGATACCCGTGATGTTGAAGAAAAAGTGGCACAGGGCGATCTGAAACACAAGAAGTTGAACAGGTGAATGGTCTGTCACGTGGTGGTGGTAGTGGGGGAGGGGGGTATAAGGGGGTGTCACCTAGCTGGCTGAATGGCTGAGGTAGTAGAGTCAAGGGGCCTGTATTGCCTGAGGGCCCACCATGTGTCAGGTTGAGGGGAGGAGTGTGTGTGTGTGTGGCTGGGAGGGGGTTGACCAGTTGAATTACAGCACAGTTTTCAGAGCCTGAAGTCCTTTAGGCAAACTAACAATGAACTTCATGCATGTGCCCACTGCTGGCCTGTGTGTTGGCCCTGCGGTTTCCAGCTGAGCAGTTAAGAGCTAGAGGGGCGGAGGGGAAGGCTCGCAGGATAGCTGGGTCCCTTGGCTCAATGCCCCATTCTAGGGCGGGGAGAGAAGGAGGAATGGGGACAGTTAACAGCATCAGCAGCTGACGTTTATGTTTACTATGAGCGAAACAACTGTTCTAAGCACGTTATGTGGATTCCTTCAATCCTCAAACAATATCCTATGAGGTGGCTATGAATATTATCCCCATGTGATATTAGAGATAACTGAGGCACCATGGGGTTGAACTATTTTCCCAAAGTCAAACAGATGAGAGAAGGTAGAGGTGGGTTTCAAACCCAGGAAGCCTGACTTCAGAGGCCACTCATTGTCCTTTGTCCTCCCACAAGGTACCAGGCATCAGGCTAGGGACTTGAACCAGCCCTGGCTAATACAGTAGACTGAGCACTTGAAATGTGGCAAAGACTTAGTCCAAAAGAGAATGTAAAATATCACATTTTAAAAATATTGATTACATGTTGAAATGGTAATGGGTTAAATAAACACATCATTAAAATTGATCTTCCTGTTTCTTTTCACTCTTTAAATGTAGCTACTAAAAATTTCAAAGTACCTGGGTGACTCAAATTTGTATTCTACACTCACATTATATTTCTATTGGACATCATGGCTTTAGCCAGAACCTCAGATCTTCATAATGTCTACGATTCCAAAATACTCTTTCTACCTCTATCAAGTGGCCATCCCACTTTTGTTTAATCAACTGCCAGTGATGGGAGTCTCACTGCCTCTCTAAGGAGTAGATGGCTTCTCCTCCACATTACCATTTTAGATTTAACAAGAGAAGCAGGGTTGTTGTTAGAAACCATCTGCTTGCAAGACCACAGATATTGTTGCATCCCACCCACAGAGCCCCTGCCCCATGCAGCATTTCCTGACCTGGAGTGAGCTCCTCAAGGTTTTGCCTGGACTGGCCAAGGCGGCCATAATGGCGGTGGTGGTGGTGCCGATGTTGGCCCCCAGCGTGAGTGGATACGCCCTCTCAATGCTTATCACACCGACACCTGGGGGAGAATACAAAGTCCATAACATCAGTCCCAGAGGATGACAGGAGATGGTAACAGTGCCAGAGGGAGAAGCCAGGGAGAAACTCACCGATCAGTGGGGTCAAAGTAGATGTGAACACTGAGCTGCTCTGCACGATGAAGGTCATGCCTGCCCCGACTAAGATAGCCAGGTAGCCAGTCAGCCAGGAAAAGGGGAAAGGGAAATCTGGAAGACAGAAGGAAACGTGATCTGTCACAAGCCTTCTAGGAAGGCATGGGATGGAGGCCTGGGGGGGCACCTCCACAGGACAAGAGTGGGTGCACGTGCTAGGTAGGAAACCCGTGGGAAGGATGGTTCCACAGTTCTGGATTTGAGCTGGCTCTTTCTCAGGACCTTGCAAACATGCAATCCAAGTTTGTTCCTGTTCCCCAGGTCCCACCCAAGACACCAAGAAAGATTTCAAGGGCCAAGAGTGTCTTAGCTTCTGCAGCTTCTCAAATCCAAAGATAAAATCCATACAGAAGCCGCTGCTAGATAAGAATCTAAAGGAGCTTCCCTGAGGTGGCAACAGTGATGCCAACCCTAGAAAGCCCCGAATGGGGGGGGGGGGGGGGGGGGGGGGACAGTTCACCTACCAGTGTTGATGGTCTTCTTGATGACAACAGCTACTCGCCCCTCGAGCACAGAGCCCAGGACCTTGACGATCATGATCAGGCAGCCACAGAGCACCAGCAGGGAGGTGACCAGCAGGATGATGCCAACAACAAGATCCAGGAGGTTGGCATTCACAAAGAGGTGCTGGCCTGAAGAAACCATGGTAAGTCCTTATTAGAATGGCATGGAGTCCCCCAAGCCACAGATTGTTATTTAGGCCCCAGCTTATTCCTTCTGTCTCATAGTGACAGAATCTTGGTTGTTCACCACCAGCACCCCAGATAGCCCGTCCCAGTGGCTAATGCTCTGAGTTCTACTCACACTTGGCAATATTCTCCCGGTGGGTCACATTCTTGATGGTCCAGGTGTGGAAACCATTTGTCCAACAGAGGTCGGGGGAGGTGCAGTTCTGAATCGAGGGGACGGTGACATTCATCTGAGTCTAGATGGCAAACATAACACTCCATTTTAGTGGGGAGAAGGGGGAGACCATGGTCTCTCCATAAATGGGAACAGAAGTAGCCAGAAGTCAATGGACATGAAAATAATGCCAAGTGAGAATAATGTATCTGTGGTGTGGGATGGGGCAAAAGGTTCTCTCTATTCTACTGCATTCTGTCTGTCCATCCAGCATTCAAGGACTTATTTCCTTATGGGCCAGTTTTGATTTTTTAGGAGTCACCAATTTTCTTTTGCCTGACCTTTTATTTGCCCACTTTCAATGAAAGAATTTGCTTCAAGTACAGATGAAGAGTCCACTCACCCACCAATATTCTTAGAAACTTACCACGTTGGTCAAAGTTTTGCACCAAATCTTGATCAGACTCTTGTTCTGAGCTGCTGGGTCATTCATTGCAATCTGGTTGATAACCTTTTTATCCAGCTGAGGAAGGCAATAGACAGAAGAGAGTCAGCACATACTCAGAATGAACATGGGAGGGACTCGCAGGGGCTGCTACAGACAGGGCCTCAGAGGAGGTGAACAGATGGCAAGGCCCTGCAAAGGTGAGCTGGGACTCACCCTGTCAAGCACCTAGACATCAGCAAGTGCTTGATAAATAAATAAGTGAAAGATGTGAATAGTGAACTGGTGCCTAGAAAGCGTGTAGGTATTCACTGGGTGACCGAATGGCAGAGAAAACCAGAAATGAGAGTGAGAGGGCAAGGTCTAAGCTAGCCTCTTCTCCTAAGGCAACATTCACAAAGCCTTCTTTCATTTTAACAATATGGACAGACTCTGGTGACCAGAGGGGAAGATGGATGGGAAGGGCAGTAGCCTTTCTTTTTGGCTGGAAGTAGGATAATACTTTGCCAGTGAACCCACTGGTGCTGAGGTCAGTAGTGAGACCAAAGTGGCCCCAGTTGTCCAGTGGGCAGTGCTTGAGCCTTGAGAAGCACTCACCATCTCCCTCCACCTTCCAACACGACACGCATGTTGAGGTCAAGGAAACAAGAAAGGTCCGTTACACTACCTAGTGTTTCCCCAGTTTCATTTTCCTTGGCTTTTTTCAGAGGCAGCCAAATAGCGGTGTTCAGAGATTCCTTCCTGTCCATCTCTGACTAAGCGGGGTGGAGGGCAAGGGTGAGGGAGTTAACACTTGAACCTTACCTGGATAATTTGCTTTGTAAGAGGATTTGTGATAACTTTCAGAAGTTCCGGGGCATTTTCTCCACTTTTGAAATGGAAGGAATCCACTATCAGGTTGGTCAGGACCTCCAGGTAGTGGGTGGAGACCTCCACGGGCAGGAGCACCAGCACGGAGAGCCAGTTGAAGAAGTCGTGGACGGTGGCACCGGCAAAAGCCCTACGGAAGGGAACCCCGAGCCAGCAGCCAGGTTAGTCAATGAGCAAGTGGGCACCAGTCTAGGAAGGTCAATCTATTGAAATATCTCCAACAGGGGTGAGCAAGGTAACTACATTCCTATGAGCAGGCACCGCCATAGATCACATGCTTATGTTTTATGTCATGGGTTATCCAGAGGCAAAAATTCATCTAACAGCGAAAAGAGCCCCAAATCTGGATAAGAAAACCTTGAATTCCAGCCATTCCTCTCGGCAAAGTTGCTTAGCCTTTTTGTCTCTCTACCTTAATAAAATGGGGCGTAGGAAAGCCAACTTGGCTTCTTGAGAAGATCAGATGGGCAAACACCCTGGATAATGTGCAGTAGTGTTTCATCTACTACTACTGCCCCCCAACCAGCCTGTCCAAGGCCATCTGCCTGACCCACTGCAAGAACATCACACAGACAAGCTGAAAACTGCCTCTCCATCTTAGTAAAAAAGAAAGAAAGCTGTCACCTGTTAGAAGAGAGGCCAGGAAATGTGCTTACTTTTTACATTAACCTTTTGGAAGCAAAGGGTTCCCTTTGCCTGGTTCCAGCCCGCCCCATTTCATATCTCACACATCCACATCCACAAAAGCTACATTTTGCCTTTCAGTAGCAGGCGAGTGAAGAACAAAGAAACAGTGGCATGGGTTGAGCTGGCCAAGAATGAAAGCTTCAGGTTATAATTATTTCTGACTAAGCAGGACAGGAAACCGCAACCTAGCTGGCCTTGTGTTACCTGCACCATGTTGCAAGTGGTAAGCTTCTAGCTAGGGCTTGCGTTTAGGGAACCCTGACTCTGTGCCAGGCACCTTGCTAAGTGTTTACCTGCAGGATTGTGTTTACTCCTTTAGACAACACAGTGATGGTGCCATTTCTACCCCTGCTCTGCAGATCAGGGGGCTGTTTCCATTCATGATCCCTACCCTCAGCTGCACTCAGCTATGGCCAGGAATAGGCGGGGCAGGGCTGACAAGCACATTCTCAGTGGCGATCTAAAGGTAGTTATGACAAGCTGGCCAACACCGATGGGCCTGTTGGAGGCAAGGGCTGGTTCTGAGCCTCCTACCTTCTGAATACATTTCGGTCTCCTGCCTGCATGAGTGCCACGAGGGTGTTGGTGATCGAGGTTCCAATGTTGGCTCCCATGACAAAGGGGATGGCAGTCCGCACCGTCAGCACTGGGTAGAAAACAGGAAGTCAGCAAGCCAGCGAGTATAGGTAGGCAGCCTGGCCAGGTTCTGATGTGCCCTGGGCAGGCTGAACCCATCAGGCTAGTCACTGCCTACAGCAGCAGCTCTTCACCTGTATGCACCTTGCGGTGAATCTGTCGAAAGCTAGGGAGACTCATATAGAAATTTAAACAAAAAGACTTTTTTGTTTTGGACCAAAAAGACTTTTCAGCCAAGAAACCCTTCATGAGCTCTACTTTAAAGTGTCTTTCTCAATTCCTCAGAGGCAAGCCCACCTTGAGGGAGCCCAGAAAACAAATAACAAACATGGCAAATTCCTGGCAGTATAATTTCTTTTTCTAAACAAGATTAATATAGTGCCACAATGTTCCGGCACATAAGTTATTTTAAAGAAGTAATATCTTTTTCTAATTGGGCCCAGAAAAGGCTCTAGCTAATTTTGGCTAAAATGCTGGTTTGGGTTGAAAATTCATGTGTTCACACTTGTCCCACTCAGGGAATCTGTCTCCGCTCTCAGTCAGGTTCAAGTTTGGAATGGCAGCTGCTCACCACATATGACTACTGACCCCTTAAAATATAGCTAGTGCAACTGAGCAGCCGGGCTATATATTTTCAATTAAAATCAATTAAGGTTAAATAAAATTAAATAGCCACATATGGCGAGTGTCTGCTGAACTGGACAGCACAGCTCCAGATAATTCAGGGTATTCTCAGACTGGGCTATGGAAATAGAAACAGGAAGCTGCCTGAGGTTCAGAGTGGAACACATCATAGTAGGACAAGATGGGGAGATCAGGGTGACAAGCCTGGACACATGCAGGGTAAATCCCGGGCTCCCAGCTGCAAGGGAAAAGCCTGGAATAGGACTGGGCTCATGGGTGCCTGAACTCACGTGAGGAGGCCACCATGCTGACAATGATGGATGTGGAGGTGCTCGAGCTTTGTACCATGGCTGTCACCAGCACCCCGATCATCAGTCCCGCCAGGGGGTTGGACATGATAGAGTTGCTGCTGAAGAACTTCCCGGCCATTTTTCCTGGAAAAACAAAACAAATCATGGCCACATGTTAGGGGGTTAGGTGGGCACCAAGTGGCCAACATTTGGTTGTGGATCTCAGCCTCCAGCCCTGCTGGCACCTGTGGCAGCTTGCTCCCTCGTGCATTTCCCCTGCACTGCCTTGATGCCAGGAGACATACCCCACCCACCCCCAGACCCTGTTCCTCTTGTGGCTTCATCCTGTATCCTCTCTTTCTTCAACCACTAGCCTTCTGGTCATGAATCTGGCCTCAACTCTGTACTTGCCCCTATGGGTGCCAGTGAATTTCCTGTCTCAACTCCTATCTCTGGGGTGTATTCCCAATTCATAAGATTTGTCCTCCAGGAGTGGATCTTCTCATCTATCCACTCTCCCTCCCTCAAGTCCTAGCCCTAGCCCTAGCCCCAGCCTGTACTTGAATGCTGGAGCTGTCATTTCTGTGTGTGCCTCTGAGACCTTCACTGCTATTGCTTCGGACCAGGGGGACCAGAAATGGCATCCAGAAAGTAAGCCCCTTACCCCAATTCTCCCAGGTCACAAAGATGAGTTCTCAAGAGAGGCAACAAGGGGTGCAAAAAGCCACGTGCTAGGTGTCCCCCAGACCTGAATTTGAATGTCATTATGCCAATTACAGGCTGTGAGCCTTAGGATCTCTTTGAGCCTCGGCCCTCTTCTCTATAAATGGAAAGGGCTTTGGGAAGGAATGTTGAAGACAGTGCCCCTGAAAATGCCCGGACCCAGGAGGCAATCAAAGTGCTAGCTGTCAGTATCGTTGCCCATTTGGGGTACAAAGGTGACCAAGCCCGTGGTGAGTTCACACTTCACAGCCACACTGGGCCATGCTCAACGCTGGATGAAGGCTCTCCAGTCTGGGAACCCCTGTCCTTCTCCGGCAAAGGTCCAGCTTTGATTCCCTCAGTAGCTTTGGCCTAAGATGATTCTTATCCAACACTCCCCTCAGATGGGGGCCCCAAAGAAAGAAGGGATCCCTTAGATAAATCTATGTCAAACAGCTTCCTGTCTAAGGTTTGTGGACAAACACAAGGCCCTGGATGCCTGGAACTGGCTCCAGCCCTGGCTCCTGGCCTAAGCCACCTACGCCAGTCAGACTTCTGTAGGCCTCGGTTTTCTCCTCTGTAAAATGGGAGATGAGCCGAGGTGGCTCCCAGCCCTAAAATGCAGCTGGAGAGGGCTTGATGCCTGGCGAGGATCTGAACCAAATGAGAACACCCCTACCCCAGCCCTTCAGCCCTCCCATCCATACCTCCAACCAGCTGGAAGGCACTGCTGAGGATATCCAAGGAGCACACGAACAGGTAGAGGAACCCCAGGAGCAGAAGGAACTTCCCAATCCCTTGCAAGATACACAGAATCTTCCCTTCGGTGTCTCTCTCTGGGGGAGGGAGAAAAGCACAAAGACTTTTAGTGTCTGAAACCCTGAGGAGTATGGCAGTGAACTCTGAATCCCCCCAACCCCCCTCCACCCCCAGCCAGGGGCCTGTGAGCACTTATGGACAGCAAGGCCCAGAGATGGTGGGCAGCTGTGGCTGCAGTTTCAGGGAAATTACCACTATCGCCCACTTAGTTGAAACCCCTGCAGTGTCTCCACAGGATGTGCACTGGGGAGGAGGGGTTCGGTGTAGTCTGGGACAAGCAAGCCAGGCTCCATGCTCAGCTGAGCCCGTGTCACTGAGCGAGGCGGTGAAGAGCACTTACCACCCGCTAAGTGTGGGGTCAGAGATAATGGCTCTCCTAAGCTCCTCTGAACAGCACAGACTATTTTCTAGGAGGTGGCTGCAAGGTAGCAATCACGGCCTCCATTTGGGGAGGGCTTGGGCAATGCTGCGCCCTTATGGCTATTTTCTCTGCTCTTAAAGTGGTTCTCACCCCTCCCACCTCAAAAGCTCCCTTCCCCTCCCTGTCCTGCAATCCACAGATCACCTTACACCCTGAACCAGGAAAATAGCGCAGCATTTGCTTGTGCGGCCATTCTGGCTATACTACCTCTGTCTTCCAGAAGACTTCTCTGATGCTTGCATTTAGGGGAGGGGACCCCCCCCCCCATCCAGCTTTCAGAGCAGGGACCCTAACTGCTCACTGCTGCAGCCACAGCACCTTGACAGTACCCAGGAGCTGGTCAGCACCGTGTCCAGCCTGGTTATAACCCCAGCAATGGCACATTTGCCGAATGAAGGAAAGAAAGTACCAAGGATTCCCCAATCATCACTCCATGCTTTCACTCCAAGCCTCCTAGACCAGTGGTCGGCAAACTCATTAGGCAACAGAGCCAAATATCAACAGTACAACTATTGAAATTTCTTTGAGAGCCAAATTTTTAAAACTATATAGGTAGGTACATTGTTATGAACTTAATTAGGGTACTCCTAAGCTGGCCTTTGCTAAAAACAACCTCAATCTGATTGAGGTACGTTCGCTGAGGTTGACCCCTACCAACTCTCCCATCCACACTCGTCTTGTATACTTGTTTCGTCTATCTCCTTTCCAAAAACCGACTTCTGCGCATGGGCCACGAACTTTCAATCGCACTGTACATGCACGCCCGCATGTGGTATTTTGTGGAAGAGCCACACTCAAGGGGCCAAAGAGCCGCATGTGGCTCGCGAGCCGCGGTTTGCCGACCACTGTCCTAGACTGTCAGGTGACAACCCTGGCCAGGCCCTTGGTTCAAAGGGCATCAGGACAGTGGGAAGGGAGGCGATACTGTAATGGTGGTGAGCTCGCTCCCTTGCCGATCTCACTTTACCTGTCCACTTGATCCCCTTGTGCTGAAGCTCGGGCAGGTCCCAGGGGTCTTCTGTGTCGGTGGGCTCCTCTATCAGGGTGGCGGTGGAGTGGGATGGCAGAAGTTCAATCTTGGTTTCAGAGGTCCCGGCGACATCTGGCCAAACAAACAACAAAGGCCAGGAGAAATGAGGAATCAGCCCCGTGTCTCTTGGGGTCCCCACAGGAGGCCCCTTGGGGCTGGATGAGCGGCACTTACTTTTGTTGGTCTCCTTTCCTTTCCCATCCGTGGGGGGCTGTTGGTTCGTGATGCCTTCGATGTATTTACCTGGGTTGGGCTGGGCATTTTCCACCTCAGGCCAAGGAGCCATGGTCTGTGGGTGGAAAAACAGAGCTTAAAGGAGCAGCCACTGAAAGGAGGTCACTCAGATGTCATGGCAGGGAGAGCCAGCAGCTGCAAGAGTTGAGGGAGTGGATGAGTGTTATGCTTACACCTCCTAAGTGCGTGCTCTTCAGTGCCATATTACACTCCTCTGTAGGCCTCCTTCAACCACTTCTTAACGTGTGTTTCCATGCCAGCCTGACCTCTATTTCACTCTAACCATCTTTGATTTCCCTACTCCCTGTCTCGTCCTCTGTCTTGACTGTCCCCTTCAGTCAGAAAGAGGATGCAAATGCAACCACCTTCATTGATTCTTGGTCTGCCAAGTCCTCATGATCCTCCAAGGTGCCCCCAGTGGACTTAACCTATATGCTCATATACATGTCACCTGCTTTAACCAACCATCAGGTCTTCTGTGATAAGCAAGACACATTGGACCTGGTTCAAATCCTATAGGTGCCCCTTATCAGGGGCCATGTGCTTACTCAAGTCCCTTTATGCCTCTGAACATCAAGGTTAATGGTGATGCCTAGGAAAGTACCTGGCACCAAGCAGGCATCCAAGAAATAGTAGCAATTATTACTGTGCCATGCTGCCTGGATTAATTTGTCAGACCTTGTTCTTTCCAGGCTTCCTTCCTCAGAACCCATTTCCCTGGCAAAGGCTTTCTCAGTGACATGGAGTAGAAGTATGGCTCCTGACACAATGCAACCCAAAGGACTAGAACAAACAAGTTACAGAAGAGGAAGTACAAGTGGCTACAAATAAGAGTTCAGCCTCGTCAGTAACCCAATATGTGCAAATTAAATAAAATGAGTAAAAATTTTTTGTAAAATATATGTCATCCTGGAGAGGATGCAGTAAGACGAGCACTACAGGCAATGCCGGAGAACATTTGGCAAAATAGTTAAAGAGCCACCCATTTTACATAAATCTTGACCCAGGCATTTTACTACTAGGAATTAGGGATTGAGGATTTTCCCCAAGACAGTTAAAAAGACCTGCCTGGCGCTGATCGCCTCTTTGAAGGGGGCTTTGTCTAGCTCACTGCATCCTTGGGGTCTGCAGCTCTGCCTGGCACACGGCAGTGCTCGGAAAATGTTTGCTGACAGAATGACCGTGATGTAGACCAGAGACCTTTGCTGCACTGTCAGAGTAGAATGTAAATAGGGAGTTTACTATGGTGCCTCCATTCAGTGTACTGGCATGCCATTAAAGAGGTTGTAAAGAATCAGAACAACAACAACAATAAAAAGCCTGGAAAATTGTGAATAAAGGGCAATTGTTGTCCCATTCACAGCACTTCAATAAGGACCCAGAAATGTTCCATGGGGTTCAGAGTGGATGGTGGGATGGGGTGATTGTTATTTTCTTCCATCTGAAATTTCTAAATTTTAAGATACAGCCCAACCTAACCTTCAAATCCACATAGGTAAGAAGGTTCAGGGATACCTGTACTGTTACTCATATTGATAAAACTAGGAGTTAAACGGCTCCATTCTCCTAACACCACACTCCTGATCCAGCTGTGCCTCCCCCCGCCTCCCCAAGGCCACACTCCAGCACGCTCTTGCTACCTGCCACAGGAGCCGAGAAGACTAAAGGCACCTATGTTGGCAGTTCTGATACCCAGAAAGGGGCTTTTGATGTCTGAGCATGAGGCTGGGGTTATGATCACACACCTACTCCTTCACTTCCCACCACTGGTCCCTACAGTCCATCTGGCTGTGTTGATAGTCCTTTTGGCTCAAATTCCTGCATCCACCTGCGCAGCCCATGCCAAGAGGAAGTCTTGCAGGCTAAGGAGAGGAACTGTCTTGGCTCTTCTCAGACCTGCATAACAGGGAAATGTAGGGCACCTGGCAGTCACCCAACCCCTACACTCTGCTTTGTTTGGGTCTTTCCGGACCTGTTCTGGAGCTGCCTGAGCTTAGCCCAAGGACATCTGAAAAAGTGGGGAAAGGAGGCATGAGGCAGCATCCTGCAGACAGACCAAGACACCCTCACATTCTCCCCCTGGGGCCGCCCCAAGCACAGGGAGGATACCTCTGCAGCCCAGCATGCAGGGCACTGAGTAGCCAGACTGCTTGCTGAGTGCACTGTGCCAGGCACTGCTACAAGCCTCGTCCACAAGTTACCCCCGTGCATCGCACCGCGCTTCGAGGGAATATTTTCTTACACTTTGAAAAAAAAATGATCGAGACCAAAAATTCCCAAGAGAGTGGTGACTACTTTTCTTTAGCTGCCTTTAGGCAACATAGCCCCCAAGGCCCTGGTAGTGGTGGGAGGGAGGGGTGTGGGACAGGAGACAGGGAAGCAATGGCCTGGTTTTATGTTGCTGCATGACTTTAATTTAGACGTTTGATAAGCACTAATAGGATTTTTAAAGACATTTGCCCTCTCTTTGAAGTAGGGCCCCATTACCATACCACCCTCCCAGTGTACCTTAAATTTGGGTTTAGAACATTTTAAGGAAATCCTGTATAATTATAAAACTATATCAATTATTTTGCATTGCATTGGGGGGGTTAAAGGGCTAATTTATAATAATAAACATTTAAAACACATTTCCATCGTTTTGCAGCCCCCTTTTTGGACTCTTCTGCATGATTAAAATCCATTGGGATGACTTAACTCCCTGAGACATCCTGCTTGCTCCCTGCTGAGACAGCCATTCTGTCCCCAGGGTAGGGGTGGGATGGGATGGGAGGAGGGGGGTGAAGAAGGTGGGGTGGAAGGTGGCTGCCTTCTTTCTTAAGTTGAACTCAGGCTATTTTTTGTCAACTTTGTGTCTAACAGTAATAACCCAGAGGTCCTCCCACCACTGGGGACTTCTTTTAATGAGTGGTTGAGCAATTTGGGGTGGATTTTGGAAGCATGCCCTTCTTGCCAGCAGATCATTATCAGCTGGTTGGTTGGCACAAACCAAGAGATTCAAACACGTTTAACACTCTGAAACAATGGTCTCCGAGGAGGCACAACTTTGCAAACATTCCCAACGAAGAGTAGGTGAATGAATTCCAACACAGGAGGGCTAACCCAGAAATCGCTTGGTGAACCCAACACACAGGGAGGGAGGATTGCACCCGATGAAACCAACAAGCTGCCTCCATGAAATGCTGGAGGAAGCTGCCTCCTTGGGAAGGAGCAAGAGGGGTTCTACTCCGTGCACCTCAGTGCCAGTGACCCAGGGCAGGCATCTCCCAGGGGATCTGAAGACCGAATTAGCGCCATTCCACCGGCCGCCCTCTTTCTGGCCTGGAGAGCCTGGGTCCCCCCGAAGCTGCACCTGTGCCCATCTTTCTCCTGGTTAGCCACTTCCCTGGTTATCTGGCCTGATACCCTCAGAACATTGAAAAATTGTAGGCTCTGTCCTCCCAAGACAAGATGAGGGACAAGCCAGCCCTCTCCTGATTCCGGCCACCTGCCCCGGTGAACAAGTTTGCACTGTACCTTGCAGTCACTTTAGAGAAAGAACAACTTAGCAGTGGAAGTCGTGCTGGGTGGGGGTGGGGTGGGGGTGTGCAGCAGGGGACAGCCACACAGACCTAGAATTTCAGCTCAGATCTCAGATGCCTGTTCTTGTAAAGAGGGGAAGCAGAGGCCCAGAGACTGAGGGACCTGCCTTGGGTCACAGAGAGAATCACTGACTAAACAGAGAGCCTAGCCCTCCTGATGCTGCATAATACTTCCATTCCCCACCCCCTTTTCCTCCCCAAACCACGAGCCCTAACATATCTATAATTTGAGAATTCCCCAAGTGTGGCTCATTCATAACTGCCAGTAGCAGGAGTGCACTCATAGGAGCTGTAGTAATAGTTATAGCAGTAATGCTAAGAAAGAAATCTGAAAATGTGGAGCTTTATGATTTTTTTCCTCTTCCTCATCCCAAAGCCAGTCAAGTTTCCCTGAGGTCAGCATGGAGGGATATCTAAAAGAATTAAGTAGTTTAAGATTCTCGAGAGAGAGTGAGATGGGAGCGGGAAGCGCCCTGGCGGGGCGGCGGTACTCACCAGCGCTCCCTGCGCAGGTAGTGGACCAAGGAGTCACTCAGGTGCAGCGCAGCGGCCCGGTTATATAGCCAAGGTGTTGCGCAAAGAGGCCGGCGGCAGGGGCTGTCACCACGCCCCTCGCACATTCCAGGACCGCCTGTCGCGCCAGGGCACTGCCTACCTGCTGGCTTAATGAGCCCAACGTGACCTCGCCCGGCTGCGCGGAGGAAAGAGAGGCGGCCGGGCTGCGGGGAGAAATCTCAGCCTTTCCCAGGAGACGGAGGGCAGCGAACGTGCCCGCGCCCCGTGCGCCTCTGTCCCGGGCTGGCGCGCTCTGCTCTGTCCCAACGCAGGACACAAAGGATCCCAGCACATGGGCGCTAGCTAGTGGGGCCCCGGGTTCCCACCTTTTCCCTCCCCAAGAACCTGAATCGGCTAGTTTAGCTCCTCCAGAGCGGAGGAAGTCAGATAAACACCAGCTAGAAAACTCAGGGACAAAACCTTTCCAAACAAAGCCAGGATTGTTCGGCCTCGCCCGTCTTTGGGATGCTTTCTGCTTTAGTAGCCCGGACTGAGCAATGGACAGGAGGAGCCCTGGGTCTGAGACGGGACATGGCTGGATGGGCCAAGTTGAGGAAGCAAACCATGGCCCTATTTCACCGTTTGAGCTGCCTGTGTGTACCCTGTGTCGTCCCTCATTTTTTTCCATTCAAACCCGTGCCGGGGAGAGCCCATCACCACGCTGTTCCTAACAGCAACCCGGCCAGGCTGACAGGTTTCCAATGCGTACACAAACGCCTTCCCTGGGCTCAGAGCAGCTCCCTTTCTAGTTGAGGCCTTAGAGCGCTGGGAGGCATGACATGGGATTACTCAGGATTTGCTGAGCCAGGATCAAACCTGGGTCTCATTGCAAAACCCAGGTCTCATTCCCTCTGCCACAGGGCCCTGGTTTTACAGCTGAGGAAAGTGCAGCTGAGCAGCTGAGCAGCTAACTAGCGGACCAGCTGCCCACAGCTAATAGGTAGTGGGCGTGCCCTATGGGAGGTAGGCTGTTTTCATTCCGCAGCCAACAGCTCTCTCCGCTGCCACCCTCGCCCTCCGCCCTCCGGGGAGAAGTCAGGAGTGTTGCTTCCAGGAACCTGCAGAGCCAGCCAGGATCTCCGCGGCTGACTGGCGTCACACTGCCTGAGATCAGTCCCGGGCCCTGCCCCTTGCTCCCCCTGCCTTCATTTGCTCCTGTGTAAAATGGGAATGCTTGTCCCTATCTGAATAAGATGAGCTAAGGTATCTTGGCACATAGAACAGTCCCTGGCACATGGTGAGTGCTCAGGGTTAACCATTTCAGTTTCCCTGGGAACCTCCGATGTTGGGAGATGAATGAAACGCTTTGATTAGACTCATCTAGAACCTTGAGGCCATTACTCCACAGCCTCAGATGCTGGTCACATCGGTCCAGAGGCCAGGACATACTGCTTGGAGAGCGGGCATCAGCAAGCAAATTATTCTTATGGGAGGGACACTGGTTTTTTGTGAGTGGGTGCTAGACTTAAAAGTCAGCCTTTGGAGACAGTGATCAACCACTGGTATTCATTGAGCTCAGCTCCGCCTCCAGCCCTGGCCATGAGGGCTGCAGACCCAGCTCAGGGGCTCCCAAAGCCCAGCCTTCATTGGACATTCATTCAGGCAAGCCTCCTGCAGTGGTTTTGATGTGGGACCCAGACTTTACCGTCTTCACATCTCCTTTATCACCCCCAACAAGGAGCTAATAGACAGATCAAAATTTCAAAAAACTTGGAAAAAGAAAGGTTCCCCTCTTATGTTCCAATTGAAAAGGCAAAATGCTGGTTCAATCAGGAGACCTTTTTAAAAATATGTATGGATCTTGGTAGTAGATCAGGGCTGATGTCTGACTCTCGTTTTGGATTGTAGTTTTTCTATTACTTTTTGTACAAAGTGTGGAGGAAAGGTAGACTGTGCGTGTGTGTAGACTCTCTCCCTTTAGTTTGATGCAGAATATTTTTGTGTTTAGTCCATCTCAGACACAGAACCCTATCATCTTAGTGCTGTAAGCGTACAGCTTATGTTAAAGTACTTTCATTCATACTTGTTTGTGCCTATGCCATCCAATAAGGCAGAATTGATTGAATTAAATGGTATCATTAATTTGATCTTGAGGCCAGACGAGGTCAACCAGCCTCTTGCCTCCAGGCTACAAAACTGTGAGCTGATTAGTATAGGCCACATCCCTACTGAGCCCCTGGGGCCAGGTATGCTTCACCATTGAGAACGTCCCATCTCTAGAAAGTAAGATGCTGTGAGGCACTTTGAGTTATCACTATAACTGTATGTAGCAGTGACCGCCCTGCTTTATCACCCATCGTTATTATATTGGTATTTCTAACCTGTTGTGGATTAAGAAAATAGCTCACCTTTTTCAATTAAGTCATCATAGCTGTAAAGCAAGAGTAAGTAAACCCGAAAGGTCTGATGGGTCTATTTCTGTGCATCGTTGACAACCTACTAAATACAGGGGGTCCCCAAAAGATGTATACACATTTTAACAGCTGGTAGCTCAATTGATGTTTCTTTCTTTTCAGATTAGCCCATTGGAATGAAAACTGACAGCCAAAGTGTGCATACACTTTTGGGGGGGACACCCTGTATTTACTATTAAGTTAATATTTACTGTTATAAGCAGAAAACTTTCTTACTACCTCATACTGGGCTAGGTTCTAAATAATTGAAGCCATTGGCACTAAACTCCCACTTTCCAAGGACACACATATTAGAAATAAGACTAACAAGTTGGGCCATGCAGAGGGCCTGTGGTAACCAGGATGGGTCAGGTCAGATTGTCACTCGGTCTCACAGCTTGGGTGATGACCAGGAGTCGAGAAAGGTGACTTCTATGCCAGTTGGACCTTCTGTTTCTGTCACTCAACCCACCTTTGCTCTTACCATCCCTTGTACCTGGGACATTCTCCCATTTTCTTTTTTTTTTCTTTTTTTTTTTTAAATATATTTTATTGATTTTTTACAGAGAGGAAGGGAGAGAGATAGAGTTAGAAACATCGATGAGAGAGAAACATCGATCAGCTGCCTCCTGCACATCTCCTAATGGGGATGTGCCCACAACCCAGGTACATGCCCTTGACCGGAATCGAACCTGGGACCTTTCAGTCCCCAGGCCGACACTCTATCCACTGAGCCAAACCGGTTTCGGCCATTCTCCCATTTTCACATGGTCACTCTCTGTCCTTCAGGTCTCAGAGAGCTTCACTGAGCATTTCTCCTGCCCATAGCCATGTCGCCCTATTTGTGTTCCCTTCATAGATTATTGTATGACCTTTTCAACAATAGACTTCCAAATAAATTGTCTCTTCATGGGTTGGGGGATTGAAATTTAAGGGTCCCGTTGTTCCCTCAATATTTCACTTTCTACTTCAACATTTTTAACCAAGGGAACTTTTAAGTTATTAGAATATATAACTTTTTATCACAAGTAATTCCTAATCACGTAATTAAAGCCAGAAGATAAAATAACGTAAAATTAAGCAGGGACTCACAGCTCTGAACATCTTCCAAGAGGCTGAAATCCTCTCCCTTCTGTTCTCCGTGGTGTCTGGGTCCAGCAGGCCTGTTGGAGATGTTAAAGGAAGACATGTTGAGTGACTCCCAAACACTTCACCTCACGGCCTTTTAGCTTTTTCGGGGCCCTGCGACAGTGCTGATAATTCTAGGGGTGCTTAGTCAGGCCTACTGGCAAACTATCAATCCCCTTGGATGCAGCCAGAACTCGGGAAATGTCAAATAATGTTACCTCGCTGTGAGAACTGGGGCTGACATAATTATAGGCTATTTTCAACTTGACTTAAATATGTACACAAACATGCAGGGAAAAGCAGTACACAAAAATGTTCATAGTGGTTATCTCTGGCAGTGGGAGCAGGTGGCTTTATTTCCTATCTATTTGTATGACGTTCCAAAAAGAATTCAAGACAGTTTACAGATTGACAAGGAAAATTGATTCAAAAATAAGCGCAGAGGTGGAGGTAGAGGGACTGGAAAGAAGGTGAAGGGATTAGACAAAGAACATATATGTACAGCCCAAAGGCACAGACAACAGCGTGGTGCTGGCCAGAGGAAAGGAGGGAGGGGAGGCTGGGTGGAGGTGGGCAAAGCCGGGGAGGGACGAGGACATCAGTAATAATGTCAACAATTTTTTTTTAATAACAGAAGAAAACAAAATAGAAGAAAAAGAGGCGAAAAGAGGCAAAGCAAAAAGTAGGGAAGTGAGAGGCAGGTCCCACACTGCGGCCAGGCAGGGCTTGAGAGGAAAGGCCAGGTGTAACCGAAGGCCTCAGAACAGTGGACTGACCCACTTACTCCCCCTCAAAGGGGCAGCCCTCCCTCAGTTCAGCCGATGTTGCTGTTGGAAAAGAGGGCCAGGGTTGCTGTTTCACATTTCAGAAGCCAGAAAGTAGACCTCTAGGTAAGATTTCAGAATGTTTGATGTTGGCTCAAAACTTATTTTAAAACCAGCTGGTATTGCTCAGTCGTTGAGCATTGACCTATGAACCAGGAGGTCACGGTTGATTCCTGGTCAGGGCATATGCCCGGGTTGTGGGCTCGATCCCCCAGTATGGGGCGTGCAGGAGGCATCCGATCAATGATTCTCATCACTGATGTTTCTATCTCTCTCTCTTCTTCTCCCTTCCTCTCTGAAATCAACAAACATATATTTAAAACTCCTCAAGAAGCCAAATGAGATTTCGTCTCTGGCCAAATGCAGCAAGTACACTAGCTGGCTCGCTTGTTCTCTCTCCACCAGCATCACTGTTTAAATCTTCCTAGAACCTTGGTTCTCGAGAACAATAGAGGATGAGCTGCATGAAGCCAGGGGTGTTTGTCTCCCACTGCTGTGTTCCCCAAACCTGGAGGGGTGCCCAACTCGGAGCACAATTGACATTGTGGAATGAATGACAGAGGACATCCTGCACCATCATCATCATGACCTACACTTTGTGCCGGTTCCTTCTTTATCAG